CACAACTCCCAATGGGGCGCGATCCCTAAATGCCCCTCATGAGGCGGCAACAAAGATAGCCACTTTGAGCAAGCGGAGTTGGGATTAAAATTGTGGAGCTCCACGCCGTAGTAGTGCGTAAGCGCCCGCATGAACCGGTCCGCAGGGACGCCGAGGCCACGCTTCGTGGAAGGAGCGAAGCTTACGACATAGCCGTCGCGAGGCCTCGGCTCCCGGCTCGCCGTATGGAGCAATCCATTCTCGGCTGGTGGAGTCGGGCCACCGGGCGGAGGAGCCCACCGTCGACAAGCGGATCTGGAGCATCTCCTCGGTGACGTCAAGACGGATCCTGTGGGTCGCCTCGGCGACAACGATATCACCCGCCATGGGTGCTATTTGGGGAATCAAGTGCGGCGGTGAGTCTTTTCTCTCCTCCCACGCTCTCACCTTTTTTCGCTTCCTCCCTAGGCTCGCTCTTCCTCCTCTCCTTCTCGGCTTTTCATTTGCTCTAGCGGCGACTTCGTGGGGGCGGCGTCTGATGAGCAAGGTAAGACGAGGAGGGCAAACTCCCCGGTATTTATGCGGGGAGAAGGCAAACGCAGCGGGCGATGAAATCGGGAGATTTCCCCAATCTGGCGCTGTTAACCACGAGCCGATTTCATCACCACGCGCCCACGTCTCCCGCGATTAAATGCGAGGGCGGTTACGTCCCATCCACCACGCCACGATCGACCACTACGGCAAAGAGTACCGTTCGACTCCTAATAAAAGCGCCTCAAAAAGCGCGCCACTCATGGCCCGAGCCAATAGGGAAAATATTTCCGTGGCTGTTCCTTTCATAGGAAGGAACCGGGCTCTGAGCCTATTACGATCCGGGGTTCAATTTGGACCCCAAAAGGGTTTCGACGGCTGCCCCAGGATAACAGAGTCGAGGCATCATGAGGCGAGCCTATTATTCGGGGTGAGACCCAAGCGAATAAACGCTTGGGACGCCCAAAGTCGTGTCCGAGACCGGCAGGAAAGTATCCGAATGGGATCCCACCGTAGGGAGGCACCGAGCCACCGAGGCCCAACGAACGGCCTCGGCACCCACTAGAGAAATCCTCTGGTACTCTTGGAGTGTGTCTCTGGACCGCTAGCCGTCCCCTAGCGAATGGGGTTCGGGCCTCCACTCGGATTACCCGATAACAGCTCACCGGAAGTGCCACCGCTCGTGCCCATCGAGGGTAGCGAGGCACATTCCACCCCTCCTTCCGAGCGAAAAGGAAGCGCGAGGGTCGCATAAAAAGTCAGGGGAACCCCTGACGGCCTTTTCGCCCTATGCAGAGGCTAGGGGGCTCCTCCTGCAAATATGCCAAGACCCCACGACCCGGGCTCGCGCCCAAAGGGGGCTCGGCAAACAAACCCTCACGCGCGAGGGGCGTATAAAAAGTCAGGGGAACTCCCGACGGCCCTCTCGCTCTGCGCAGAGGCTAGGGGCTCTTCCTGCGACCTTGCCGAGACCAGAATGGGCTCGGCAAACAAACCCTCACACGCGAGGGGCGTATAAAAAGTCAGGGGAACTCCCGACGGCCCTCTCGCTCTCTGCTGCAGAGGCTAGGGGCTCTCCTGTGTGATCTTGCCGAGACGAGCGGGCTCGGCAAGCAACCCCTCCGTCCGAAACGAAAAGGATATGTGAGGGCGAATGAAAAGTCGGAGACCCCGACCGCCCCTCTTGCTCCAGCGGAGGCTCTGGGGGCTCCTCTTGCACCCAAAAACCAAGACAAAAACACGATAAAAGGCACCGAGCCCGTTCTGGTCAGGGGTTCAAGGTTGGGCCTCCAAGAGGTTTCGACAGCCGGCCGCCCGAGCAACAACAGAGTCGAGGGGCGACTTGGGCGAGCTGCGAATGGCCTAGGCCCGAACGAGCGATCCCTCAGGCGCCCTAAGTTGTGTGTCCGAGACCGACGGAAAGTATCCGAATGGGATCCCACCGTAGGGAGGCACCGAGCCACCGAGGCCCAGTGAACGGCCTCGGCACCCACTAGAGAAATCCTCCGGTACTTTTGGAGTAAATCTCTGGACCGCTAGCCGTCCCCTAGCGAACGGGGCTCGGGCCTCCACTCGGACTACCCGATAACAGCTCACCGAAAGTGTCCACGCTCGCGCCCATCGAGGGTAGCGTGGCACATTCCACCCCTCCTTCCGAGCGAAAGGAAGCGTGAGGGACATACCCAACGTCAGGGGGACCCCTGACGAACCTCTCGCTCCATGCGGAGGCTAGAGGGCCTCTTTTTGCAACCTCGTCGAGACCCCCGCAACCCGAACTTGCGCTTATGGGCTCGACAAATGCAATAAGAACTGACCACTCAAACGCGAAAGTAGAAAAAGCCCCTGGAGGTGTAACTTCACTCCTCCAGGGGCTCGGGGGCTACACCCGGCGGGTGCGCTCGCGCGCACCCACCGGAACCTCAGAAAACAAACCAATTCCTACGGAGCAGGCATAAACCGAGGCTCGGGGGCTACTGTCGGGTACCTTAGAACGGGGTACCCCAAGCAAACGTCAAAACAAAGCTAGAAGGTAAGCCATGGGCCCCTCACTGCTTGACCGAGCCCCCTCCTCCACCTCGCCTCGAGCCTCGAGCAGGAGGTCTCGGAACGAACTCCGCCTCGCGCGAGGCTCCCCAAGGTAGGCCTCGGCAGGGGGCGCCGAGCCTCGGCAGGGGACGCCGTCTCCGTCTCGCCCGAGGCTATCCAGGGAAGGCCTCGGCAGAGGCCTCATTCTCCGTATCGCGCGAGGCCTCATTCTCCGTGTCGCTCGAGGCCGGCTCGTCCACGGTCCGTCGCCCCCCGTCTCGGCCGACCCTCCCAACAACTCGTCATGTCTCATTAATGCTTCAACCACTCCCGCAATCTCAGCCGGACGGTGGCTCAACGCCACAGGATGGCCGACGCGACCCGAGGTCGCATCTCAGTGTCATCCTCTACGGCCGTAGAGACAGCCCATCGTGTCCTACCGTGTGTCCTACCACTGTGTCCACGACCAGCACCATACCGACTGGGAAAGGGTACGACGGGGATTACCGACCACTTTGTGTCCAAGCAGCGTGTGCCCATGATCGGACGCGCCGCTCAAGGCCTCGGCCTTGCATACACCGAGGCCTCGGCGATCTTGGGGTTCGCGCCTTCCAAGACCCCCCCACCGCAGTGTCGGCCTCGGCATCGACCAAGCCTCGGCATCGCGCACAGTCCGTCCACAGTGGCTTGCACGTTCGCCGCCGCATCCACTCCGAGGCATTCCCGGGGCTCCCACGGCGCACAGGACCTGATGGGATGACCACGCCGCCCCAGTACTCCAAGGATGGACCACTCCGACGGCCACGCCGCCACAGGAATAGGCTACAGGGCCCGAACACGCCGCCTCTGTTCACACGACGCCGTATAATCAACACATGTACCGCCCAAGTCCTCCCTTCATGCTATAAAAGGAGAGGACCTGGGTTGTTTTAGGGACGGGGGACACCTTGTAACACACACGCACACTCCCCGCCGCCAGAGAGCAACGTCTCAAGCGGCCCCCACGCACACCCTGCCGAGACCTAGGACCAGCTCCTTCTCTCCTTTAGCTTGTAACCCCTACTACGAGCACCTCGGTGCAAGAAATACAAGATCGATCTCTCTCGATTTGGAAGTAGGGCCTCGATTGCTGAACCAAAGATAAACCTTGTGTCTCTTTGCATCACCATCCGGATCGAGAGCACGCATGAGAACAAATTCACTAGTTGGTTGAGGACCCCCGGTCCCAAAACACAAACAGTCATGTGTTCGCGTGTCTTATAATTCGTATTTTTCACCTTGTTTTTTCAAATGAACAATATTTTTCTCTTACAACAAATCAGTAGGAATCGAAGATGGCAACGGTACGTGCTGATGGGTGCTCGCCACCTGCATTACCACACTCCGCCAGATCAAAATCTTACCCGTTTAAGTTACCCGTACCCAGAAAGTGGTAGAAAATTCATTCCATACCGCACTGACGGGTAATTTTTTACCCGACGGGTAATTCTTACCAAACAATATACCCGAAGTTCACACACCAAAATATAATAGCTTTCAAATAAAACAAATCAACAATAGAGACAAAAGAAATGTAAATATAATGGTGGAGTGGAATGAGGATGAGGATTAGGGTTTGAGGGAGTTCTTGAATATATATACTCATATGCTTATATGGGCCAAATATGAGCTATATGCTTATATGGGCTAAAATTGCAGAGAGGTTGGATATTATTTATGCGGGTTTTTTTTCATGGTATGGGTATGGGTAGTATACACCCACACCAGCACCATCTGATACCCGATGGGTACAAGAATTCGTCCAATAACGTATTCGCGGGTGCAAAATGTCTTCCATACCCGCCTCCTTATCGGGTAAAACCCGTCGGGTACTCGGGTTTCGGGTACCCGTTGCCATCTTGAGCCGGAACAGTATTTTAATTTTTTTTTCGACCGAAGCGAACGGGGCAATAATGGTTATAATAATGCAGTGGTGCCCAGGGCACTTTAATGGTTATAATAATGCACAGTTATCATACTTATCTCTACTGTAGAGGATATATCCTTATCCTTTCGAAAGGGCCAGCCTTTTTGGGACCGGAGTGGGCAGGGTTCTTAGAAGGAACCTATATTTCCATTTATTTCAAGAATTCTATGAAGAAACATTCTATGTTTTCAGCTACACTAGAAAATGTCATCTGGCAGTATTGATCTGCATTTTTTTTTCATTTTTTCTTTCTCCAGACAGAACAATAACATCCTTGTTGCCCTTTTTATCTGCTTATTATATATTGACCTCAATCTAAACAGGTCTAGAAACTCGCAAAAAAAAAACACGTCTAGAGAAAGAGCAGTGTCCTCGCAATCAAATATTGTTTTACAAAAGCTAGTATGACGCTATACAAGAATGTCTTTTTTTCTTCCACGACTTCGCTTTCGCTTGCAAGTGGCAAACAGCGGTGCTTCCACTTGTGTGTCGCCGTGCGTCAGCGTGGGCCCCTTGCACCAACGGCCAACGCCAGCTCATCCAGCCCCACCGGCGAGCAGGCCAGGATGGCACGGCCCAGCGGCTGGGCCAGCACGGCTGCGTCGGCTGGTGCGCAGGGCACCCAGTACCAGCGCGCCACGGCGGTGGTGCTTCCCTTCGCCTTCCCCTCCTCCCACAGCTCGTAGAGCACCGCGCCGTTCGCCGGCTCGGCCGCATTGTACACGTAACCGCCCGCGGCGTTGCCGCACACCCCGATCGACAACGACCTGTCGTCCAGTTCCTCTTCGTCGTCGTCGTCGTCGTCATCAATGTCGTCACGAGGAAACAGCCTCTCGGACAGCTCCGGCGGCATCGCATCGCTGGATGCAGAGGGGGTCTGTTCCAGAGTGTCGCCGTCCACCTCCCATGCCTGGACGACGACTGTGCACTCCGCCTCCTTGTCTGCCCGCTTAGCCCCGAACAGAACGAGGCGCTCCTCGGCGCCGACGACGCGGCCGGGCGCGACGCCCCACGTGGCGACGGCGGCGTCGGGGCCGAGGCGACGGGTGGGGCCCCACCGCCGGTTCGCCGGGTCGAACCAGCTCGCCCACCCGGTGGTCCTCTCCACGAGGTACACCCGCTGGTCCGTGGCGGCCGCGGAGAGCCACGTCGCGGCCGCGGAGTCCCTGAGCGCGTCGGGCATCGGGTCGCAGGTGGTCCACCCGCCGCCGGCCTCGTGTACCTCGACCGCGGCGGCGTCGCCGCCGTCGGCCAGCGCCAGCCGGCACGCGCCGCCGAGCGCGACGACGCGGTCGCCCACCGCGGCGAACACCGGGTCGACGCGCCACACGGTGGGGGCGTCCAGCGGCGCGACGCATCCCGCCGTCGTCCCGAACGGGTCGGCGGCGACGGCGAGCCCCGAGAGCGAGAGTGCGCAGACGCGGTCGCCGCGCGAGCCGCGCAGGAGGCGGACGTGCGACGGCGTGGCGTGGCGCGGCGCCGCCGGCACGGCGAGCCAGACGCCCGAGCACGGGTCGTACGCCGCGGCGCACCGGAGGCCCCCGCCCCCGCCAACGCTGCGGGGGCCCTGGAGGTGCACGACGAGCCAGGGCAGCCGCCGCGGGCGGCGGCGCAGCGCGGCGCGCACCGCGCGGAGCCACTCCCGCGAGACCCGCGCCGCGGCGGCCAGGTCGGCCGCGGGGACCCGCTCCACCACGGACTCGAGCACGTCGCCGTAGAGGTACATCGCCGCGAGCGACGCGCCGTCGGCGTCGGGCACGCGCGCCTCCTGGTGGCGCCGGTGCTTCAGATCGTGAGCTCCAGCGCTGACGCCCATCCTTCTTTTTTCCGCAAGGGTTCGCTAGGAGACACGTCACGAGTGAGCGCAGCAAGTTTCGCTTCTTGTGTGCCTGGCCAGTGGAGAGTGGACTGTGGTGTGATCGCTTCCGATTTGGGCCCTGCGCTTCCGTGATCTGATGCCACAGGATAAAGGGTAAATAGAGAGGAGAGGCCGAGTGGGGGTGCGGGGGCGGGGGCGCCCCGCTTTGGAAAACCACGAGCGGTGCGGCGGTGCCGCGGCCCTGGGGTCAATGAAACGGGGATAGACGGTGAGTACGAGATAGGGTGGGCCCGTGGGTGGGCAGGGGCAAAGCTGTCTCTGATGTGTGATGGGACCAAATCAGCAGACGCCAGTAATTGGAGCAAAAACGACGTCAAGACGGGGTGTTTGCATGGAGCGATTAAAATTCAGGAGCTGTCATGGATGTTCGCATACTAATAAAAAAATAAATTAAAGAATCCGTCAGTGTTTTACGAGACGAATTTATTAAGCCTAATTAATCTATCATTAGCATATGTTTACTGTAGCACCGTATTGTCAAATCATAGACTAATTAGGCTTAAAAGATTCATCTCGTAAACTAGTCGCAAACTGTACAATTAGTTTCGTCATTAGTCTATATTTAATACTCCATGCATGTGTCCAAATATCCGATGGGACAACGACTAAAGTTTAGGAGGAGGAACCAAATACCCCCTTATCGTTTTGCTACATAATGTAATTCACAAATGGGCGTTTGTCCGTCGCGAGCTTTAAAAACGTTATATCATCGCTTTGGATTGGGTTTGATTGATAATTGTCGGGGACCAATATTAGGGTACCCGAAGAAAAGGAGCTAGTGACCATCAACATTGATTCATCCGCACGACCAAGAGCGCGACTACACCGCTTGTCGAGCTCCGCCTCGCTCGATGTCTGAGGGCAGACTCCATCTCGCCCGACCCCTGAGGACTGGCTCCGCCTCGCCCGACGCCTATGACGACATTACCATGATACCGATCTAGGAATCAGGCGGAGCAAATAAGGCAAGACTCTCAAGTCAACCGTAATACCGAGGACCGTACCCTGCAGCCTATAGGAAAGTACCATCAGGATATGACAAGAAGGGCGCTTTGCAACCTCTAGGCATGTCAGAGCCCAAAACAGTGTTGTAGGCGCCGACATTTACCTCACAATGTTGTGGGCGCCGCCATTTGCCCTCGGGCATGGATCCTGACGGAAGCTCACGACAACCACTACGATCTAGAAGGAAACTCGCATCACCTAAAATAACGGACGTGCGGTCACTATGCCGTCTGCTCCCTGTATGGCCGTGGATCAGCACCTTGGTCTGCCGCGTCGCTCGCCGGGGCGGGATGGGACGTGACAACTCACTGACAATGCCAGGACATGGCATGATCAGTGGGTAGACACTCAGCATGGCCTTGTGAGGATCAGTAGACATGCGCCCAGTATGGGGTTGTTCCCATCACCGCCTACCATGTCAAGGGAGCCCGCACAGAGGAAAAGGAAGACCCGACATCCTTGAAGGACTTCCTTTGCCTTCCATTTTCCTCTTTTCTCTCCATCTGTAATCCATACTCTCCCTTGGCTTATAAAAGGGAGAGCATAGCACCCCACTAAGGGGATTGATTCAACACATCCCGCATCACATCACACATAGCTGAGCAGCGACTAAGCTCTCAATACCCATTCGACCTTTCCATCAGAGACTTGAGACATGTCCCTCTCTCGTCCGTTTGTAACCCCTACTATGAACTTTTCAGTGCTAATAACATGAGTAGCAGCCATGAACTGGACGTAAGGACATTCTGCCCGAACCAGTATAAACCTAGTGTCTCTTTAGCACACCATTCGGGCCAGACGCGTAATAACACAAATTTACTCGTTGGTGTTTACTCGAAACACCGGCAGTTGGCGCGCCAGGTAGAGGCCTTTGTGCGCCCCGACATTAACATCAGGCCACGGATGGCTAGTCACGGCATCAGCTAGGTCCCGGACGCACACGTGCGCTTCGAGGACCTGGACTCCATCATTACGGTGGGAGGAGAGTTGGCATTGGCTCACGCCACCATCCAACCTCTCTCCTCCATCAGCCTCGACGCAGTCGATGAGGTGGTTGAGGAGCTACAGCTGCATGCACCGAGGGCCCGCGCCCTCAAAAACAACCAGCTCCTTGACTACGGGAGGCTTGAGCGCCAGCTCGGTGTCTCCCTGGGACCCCAGCCGTCCCGGAAGGACCTGCGCCACCTCACCTTCTCTTACGCCAATGACATGGCGTGGCTTGTCGGAGGGGAACCCCTCTCTCCGGAGCACCTCATTCGGAGCACCCCGACAGTGTGGCAGAACCACCTTATCTAATGCCTCCCAGAAGTGCTTGTCTTCCATTAGACAGTAAGCACTCAAGGAAGAACACTAAATTACACAGTTCCATCGGGCACACCCCAAGGGCGAACCCGAAAATCCATATTTTTTCATCAGGATCACAAATGAGAGAATAAAGCTTATATCATTCTTAACCATTTCTTACATCATTTTTAATACAACATCAGAGTATAATATTTATTATTATAACAGCGAAATGTAATTATATTATTAGAGTTATGAGCAATTTAAATTAATAGCAGAATATAAACAAGTTACTAGAATTACAGCGGAAATAATTATCTAGTCATGACATGACGAAGCATTGATATATAAACTATGACAACAGATTATAAAACTTTTATTTAGAAAACATTTAGTGAGAGTTATTGATGAAAACTATGATCGCAGCGTAAAGAAAATCCTCTCTGAGCCCACCAAGAGAAATCCACACAAATGTCAGCTCTAGCCTCCACCTGTTATCTGCAACAGGGGGAAATAAAACCCTGAGTACTCAATTGTACTCAGCAAGACTTACCCGACAGGAGGAAAGAAAAGACTCCAAGGATATGCAAGGCTATCTGGCTGGTGGGTTTATTGCATCTGCAGGAAGCATTACTAAAAGTGCGTCCTTATATTCAATTTTTATTAGCAGTGCATTAGTTCATTAACTAACCATTCTATGTAAGCACCTGTGCTACTTTCAAGTAGGTGGTAAGCAATCAGATTCCCTTTTTCTCTCTTTCATCTTTCTGTTCTTACTATGGTGCTAGATCCAAAACAAGCCGTACCGGATCGTTCGGCGATTCGTGAATCATTGCCCCCAGTAGGGTACCCCGAAAACACATGCCCCACTTGTACCCCAGGCACAAGCAGGACCAACCCATTACCCTCCTATCACGGGGTCCAGGATCCTGTCCAAACTAGGACTCCAAGCCCCCGCCCCTGAGTCCCGGACTCAGTACGATGTAAGGACCTCCTAACCCAAAAACCACCATGACAGTCGATCTAGAAAGAGTCGAAACTCATGACAAGAGAGTAACAAGTCTTCCAAGCGCCCATACCCAAGTATGTGCTCGGGATAATAAATATGTGACTTGCCTCGAGACTTATGCAACGGCCGGTCCTTAACCGACACGGACAGGGAAAAACAGTGTAACCAAGCTATGTCCCGTTTGCCATGGGACACAACCTCTTACACCCGCCAAAACCCAAACCATATCCCTGTCCAGTCACCATTTTTCCTTTCCACCATTTATATTTTTCCAAGTAATAATAATACAGTAATATATTTCCTATATCTCGCGAGTGACAGACAATCACTCGACTTCTACCGGAGTCCTATAGCATAGCAATCTACACAATCCTATCATACTAGTAAGACTCATAGGATAAAGATAGATATATGCAACTAGGTTTCATTCAACTCCTTAAAACTTAATGCACAAATATAATTTAAAGTGTAGAAAAGTAGGGGTTATGCACCGGGGCTTGCCTGGGTAAAATATAATCAGAAGTTAGCTTTCCATCCTGGCGACACGATCTCCAAAAGTACCATTTCTCTAGCAACTCCCGATGACTCCACGATCCATCGACGTCCCTATTATGATATGCAATGCGATGCAATGTAAAGACGTAATTAATCAACTGCAATCGTGACTCGTAAAATACGATTTGTGCCTCTCAAGTTAACGAGCTAGTTCTAACAACGACCGTACTTAGGCTACATATCCATATTGCCGAATAAGACGTTACTTCCCAACAATTATTTTAGTTATACAAACCCAAGTTGTTTTTATCCCATTCTATCGATTTAATCATTATTCGACATAGGGCATCATTATCTATCTAGCAAACTAATTATTCTGGAGCTACCAAAATTACCGTGAGCATCTAATAATATCAGTAATTTACTATAAAATTTTTAGAGTCAACACTATCATCGATTTATCACAGAAATTGCTACAAGTTTATATTTTTACCATATCAGGTATCTCCAACTAATTATATAGCTTTCAAGAATATTATCAAACTATGTGCACAAAATATACTAGCAGGTAGATCAGGATTTTAGGAGCTTAACAAAATTGGTTTCACAATTTTAGGACAGCTACACAAATTTATATTAATTTTACAAGTTTATTTTCGAAACTAAATTATCAATTACTTTAGAAAACTAAAGGGCCAGCGGCCACCTATTCGGCCCAACGTGGAAATCCGCGCACACGCGGCCCAGGCGCGACGGCTGTCTAGCAGCATGGCCTGGTCCACAGGCGCGCGCGGCCTACTGACCAGGCGTGGCACAGCGGAGCAGTCGGTGGCCCAATGACCAACCCTCCGCGCGACGCAGTAACGGGCGTGGGCGGCCCAATGCGAGCAGGCCGGCCCACGATGGGAAACCTAGCGGCAGTGGCGCCATTTTGCAATGAGACCCCTAAACTTTTCATAAATTAATCCACGGTACAAAGTCACTATTCATGAGAGTCATGTATTTTGTAATGAGGACCCTGTACAAAATCTATACTTCAATCCTTACCCTTCTCTTCTTCAAAAGTAGAGCACGGCCAGGGAAACCGGCCGGCGGCCAAATCTGGTCGTGAGGTCGTCGACGGCGGTGAGGAGGCGGTGTCATG